TGTGTGTGTGTGTGTGTGTGCTTGCGTGCATGCGTGCTTTAGCAACATGACAAATACTCTTTCCTTGAGGGTTTTGAAGAAGTGACTCACCCGTCGTTTTACACGCTAAACTGATAACGGCCGAAGAAAAATTTCTCGCACGATTTCAGAAAAGAATGAGGTACAAACGTGTAGACATAATATATTATTATGCGCTCCTTCGGGGATGAGCAGAGAGGAATGCCCTAGGAGCTATAATTTTATGATGCCCATCACATAAAAAGAACAAGTCTGACAAAATCAATACTTGCATTAACTAAAATTATATTATTGGGTTTTATTCTGGGGTTCCTTTTCAAGAAATATATAGATCCTCCAACGCCGTCTTCGGTAAAGATTCCCAGGCCTCATACCTTCTAGTCTTAATTGTAATGTTATATTAATTGTTGTCAACGGAAGTTATGGACGTCTTTTAAAGGCAAATTCTCGTTTTAACAACGTTTAAAGTTAGTCTGTGGATGTATGTGTACCCGTGTACATCGCTTCACCGGTTTGAAAGAGCTGTGATTGTCGCCTACTAGTGCTTGTGTGGGCGTATGTATGTGTTTGTGTATAATGTCCATGTTTGTTCGTGCTGTGTGTTTGAAAGAGAGAAAAAAAAGGTGGGGGGAGAAGAGATAGAGGGAGAAACAGAGACAGAGATAGATAAACAAAAAAAGGGAGAGAGAGAGAGAGAGAGAGAGAGAGAGAGAGAGAGAGAGAGAGAGAGAGAGAGAGAGAGAGAGAGAGAAGAGGAGCCGAGGAGTGTTTACGTATAAATATTTGTTCTCATTTTTGTTAAGCGAGGGAAAGGGAGAATAAACGAAAGAGATAGACAGACAGGCACACAGGTAGATAATATAAAATAGATTATAAGATTTTAAATACATCTCAGAAACCATTTTTAAAAATCGCTTTTTAAATGTTCGATATCGCCAACGATGGAGTAATTTTGCTTTCTTAACTTGATGATATCTGATAAATACATTTAGATCACAGTGTTTCCATGGGAACCGAAAGGTCGATAAATCTTGAATATAGTGAGTCATCCTTGTTTGCCAACCCAGTGTCCATACGGGCTGAGAAACGTTTCCTCAGAAATTTGGAAACAGCCCTTCATGTATACTCCACCCC